CTGGAGCTGGACACGGGCCAGGCACTGCCCAGTGCATGACAGTGACCAGATGCAGGGAAGAGGGAGGTTCCGATCCAAGCCCAGGGCAGCCATGCTTCCTCCCTCCTGCCGAGAATGGGTTCTGGCTATGCTGCCCAGACTGGCCTGTAGTTCCTGTGCTAAAGCAAAACTTAGGCCTCGGCCTTCCAAGTAGCTGGGACTTAGACCCCTCACACCCGGCCTGGTCTACTCTATTCTTTCTAAGGGTCTTTGGGTGACTCAGCACAGTGTAGTTCTCTAACGGTGCATGAAGAGCAAGCCTCTGCTCACAGGGCCTCCTCCATCCTGAGACGCTGTTCCAACAGTTGGTATTCAGTGTAAAGAACCACCCCACCTTTTGTTGTTTGTTTTTTCGAGACAGGGTTTCTCTGTGTAGTTTGGTGCCTGTCCTGGATCTCGCTCTGTAGACCAGGCTGGCCTTGAACTCACAGAGATCCGCCTGGCTCTGCTTCTCGAGTGCTGGGATTAAAGGCGCCACTGCCCAGCCTGCCCCACCTTCTTAGCCTCCTGGACTGAGGCCCAGCCTGATCAGCTGGGGTCCCAGGGCTGTTCCTCAGCTGTTGCACACTGTTAGCCCAGCCCAGACAGAGCACCTCTCTGTGTGCTACCCTATATAGCTGGAGCAGGTAGACAGGACCCCGATGGAGCAGTTGCCCCTTAGGCCCTCCTCCCGTATCCTGGGGCAGCGGGATACAGATACTCAGCCACTCGTGGGCAGGGCTACCCAGGAGGCACATCTTACCCTCGGTCCCACTCGCCCAGGATGCCATAGAGGTGACCGCAGCCAGGACCCAGGCTGAGGGCAGGGCCAGCCAACCCTGCGCCAGAACTGGTGGCTGCTGGGCCTAAGGGAGCACTTGGGGGTTGCTGTGAGTTCGGGGGAACCTTTGCAGCTCTCTGCTTTCCTCGGTGGGACGGAATGTGTTCTCACACTTTCAGAAATTAACTTGCAGCTCTCAGCCCTGCCAGCCCCGGGAAGGAGGGAAGGAGAAAAGAAGAAAGGATTGGCATTGTTCCTGTGATTGGCACCTCGTGTGAATGAGGGGTCACCGCTTTGGGCTGCTCTTTTTCAAGCGCTCCTCTCTCCCCGGCACGCTGCATTCACGCTGGAACATTCTCTCTTTAAAGCTTGTGTCTCTCTCTCTCCCCCGCGCTTTGTCTCTGCCCTCCTTCCCTTGGCTCTGGCCTTTCATTCCGGGCCCTCCCCTCCTCCCTGGGGATCGCTCTCTTCTTCTCTTCTTGCTCTTTCTTCCTCCCTTCTCTTCGGTCCCTCTTTTCTTTTCCTTTGCCTCTCTCTCCTTCTTTCAAGTTGTCTTTTCCCTTTTGAATAGCGCTTCTGTTTTCAGGGGCGGGAGAAGGTAGAGAAGAGAGTTTGTGAGGGTCTTTCCTCCATTGCACCGTGTGCACAGACCTCCCTCTGCAGACGCCGCTGTGTGCCAACCCCGTCACGGAGAGGGCAGGGGGGTTGGAAAGGTCCCCTTGGACAAGACGCCCCTGTTCTCACAGATCAGGAACCCCAAGTCCTTCAGCGGGGCAAGTCCAACATGGCCCTGACACAGAGGTCAGAGGTCAGTACAGATTCCCTAAACCTCTCTCCTGTGGGAGCCTACTTTCAGTCTTCCTGGCCCAGAGGGGCCTCGGTGGAACCATGAGCCCTTCATTTGGACTGAACTCAAGAAGGCCATGTCACATGTGCGTGACAGTTGTCTAGCCGTGAGTCCCCCACCACACTGGCACATCTCTGGCTGCAGAAGCAGTTGGCCCCATATTGGCTAGACTGGGATGGTAGAGAGGGTCTGTCTTCTGTGTGGCTCTGCCTGATGCCCCTCCCCCCAAATAAAGCCGTGTTCCAGGAGCGAGTGAGCATTCAGTTTTGGTTCCCCCTGGGTTTCCTCTCTGTAGGCCTCTGTTTCCCTAAGATGAAGGTTCCCTCTCCATGCTTGTTAATCCACCGGCGGACTCCTATAGAACCCACAAAACCCTGCTTAGGCACCACCTCCCTGTTTGATTCCCTAGGTAGTGTTAATCACGTCTCCCTTTCTGTAGTCTCTTAGAGGTACCAGCTAGCTGTGGTAGTCGTCACCCTTTTACCGTGGCACCTTGTGGGAGGGCGGGAGTGCCATCTTTGTCGTTTCTGAATTCAAGAGAAAAAGAAGGTTGTGCCGTCCACATGTGCCTGATCTCAGCCACTCAAAAGTGACTTTTTAAAAGTTTTGTGTCTGGGAAGCTGAAAGCGGCGTATGGCTTCAAGCACAGGGGCACGATGGGGGTGGGGCGAGAGAAATGACACCCAGAGCAGTGGCAGGCCTGACGTGGAGACTCGGTGACCTTAGCAGAGGGGTGGGTGTGGCAGCTGCAGAGATGCCCTCCAGGAGGGCGCCCAGCAGGACAGAGGCAAAGGCCTGAGCCCGGGGCCTTGGATGTGGGGGGCCGAGGGCCGAGGGAGGGGGCAGCAGAGTCTGCTGACAAACCATAGTGACCTTCCAGAAGGAGGGCAGAGGTCGCAGAGCCCAGCGCGGGAGGCAGGGGACAGCCCCTGGTGGAGAGAAGGGGAGAGGGCATTGCCTGGGCTGTGGCCTCTTGTGGCGTTAGAGGGAATCTGGACATAGGGTTGGGAGGGGGCAGGGACTGAGGTGGGGTGTGAGTTAAACAAGCTAACTGAGGCGCGGGAAGGCATCTGGCAGAGACCCGAGGCCAGCCTTCTCCAGGTGGAGCCTACCCCGCTGACCCGAACTCATTTCTTCCTGAAGATGCTGCCTGTCCTGGATCCTGTAACCTGGGGTGCATGCGGGGGGTGGGGGGACTCAGTCTAGCCAGCTTGCCAGAAAGAGGAACCGTTTGGAGGAGGAAGGTGACATGAGGGGAGGCCTTGGCCAGGATGCCACACACAGTACTGCCAGGCCTGTGGGTCCCAGCTACCAGGAACGGCTCAGAGACAACCCGGCGTGTGCCTCCCAGCCCGCGTGGGTCGGAGTGTGAACTGAATGTGTCATTAGCAAAGCAGACATGGATACCTGGATACTGGCCGTGCATGACCAGGGTGTGAGTGACAGTGCCCTGGGAGGGAGGCCCGTCTCTGTCCCCGGGCCTTGAGACAGCGGAGACTGGAGCAGAGCCCAGGAAGGCGGAGGGTGGCAGAAGGGAGAAGATGGGAACCGGAGAGCCTCAGTGGGCGGGGGAGAGGACTTGGGGGAAAGGGCATCCCTGAGATCCTGCATCGCAGAGGGTGGCGCTGGAGGAGGTTACCATGGGGACCGTGAAGCACCTACTGTGTACCGGCTCTGAGACTATTCCCTAGGGATCCTCAGGCTTTGTGCCTCAAGGAATTGTTAAGAGACAAGTGTGGCCAGGGCAGGCGACCCCTTCCCCCAGTGGAGTCTGCCCGTGGGCTTTGCAGCCTGGGACTAAGTAGGGGCGCCACTGCTTCCTGGTGCTACCGGCTTCTTGGGACACCTGCTGGCAAATCCTACCTGCCAGGGCGGGTGTGGGTGGCCTTCAAGTTATTCCGGTTTGGGCAAAAACATTTCCTGGCATCCCAGCAGGGTGCCTATAAGGCAATACCTCTTTCATGATGTGTTTATGATGTGTGTGTGGGGGGGGGTGGCAAACTGTGGAGGCCAGAGGACAATTTTGGGGAGTCAGTTCTCTCTTCCATCCTGGGATGTGGGGATCAAATTCCCCTCTTTGGGCTGAGGCTGCCAGTGTTGTCAGCCAAGGCTTCTGACTGGCTCTCCCTGCCTCTTTAAGAACCGGCACCAAGGAGACAGCTCCTCCAGGAACTGGCTGTGTGGCCGTGGAATTACCAAAGTCAATAATTGCAAATACTCACGGGCCACTGGGGTTTGCTCACAGCGGCCGCCAAGTGGGTGCTGCTGATGGGCCTGCTGCAGGAGTGCTGGCGGGCTGTGGACTCTACTCCAGGCTAGGGCGCCATGCTTCACAGCTGCTTGGTTCTGTCTGTCTGTCTGTCTGTCTGTCTGTCTGCCTGCTTGTCTATCTGTCTATCTATCTATCTGTCTATCTATCTATCTATCTATCTATCTATCTATCTATCTATCTATCTATCTATCTATCTATCATCTATCTACCTACCTACCTATCCATCGACAATCCGGCTAAGTAGTCCAGGCTGTCCTAGAACTCAGTGTATAGCCCACGTTAGCCTTGAACTCCATCTTTCCGCTGTAGCTCTCGGAGTACTCGGACTACAGGTAAGTGGGGGTGCGCTATCACACCTGGCTCCAACCTGCTTTTTTAAGTGACTTTTGCAGTCATGTCCCTGTCTCTGTGGGGGATGATAGGAATGACGTAGTACTTGCACACAGCCCACACATCCTCCATATGATTTGAAGCGTCTCTAAACGACTTATAATAATACCTAACACAGTGTAAATGCTGCGTGAGTCCTGGGGCTGTGCTGTGTAGGGGATAATGACAGGGAGAAGAGTTTGCTTGTGTGTGGTACAGATGCAGCCATCTAGGCCTAAGTACACGACGCACGTCTGATAGCAGAATGGCATCTCTCACCCTAACTGTCCCCTCCTCTTCCTCCTCGGGGTTTCAGGCACACCCTGCTAGCCATCTATTCAGTCAGTATGGAGCTGAGGACGACCTTGAACCTTGTGTTGTTTGGTCTGGTTGTGGGGTTTTGTTTGTTTTGAGACAGGGTCTCACTGTGCAGCCCTGGCTCCCCTGGAACTCAGTAGATGGCCTCAAACTCACAGAGACCCTCTTGCCTCTGCTTCCAGAGTGCTAAGATCACAGTTACCACCACACTCGCTTTTTGCTATTTTTTTAAAGGTTTATTATGTATACAGTGTTCTGCCTGCAGGCCAGAAGAGGGCACCAGATCTCATTACAGATGGTTGTGAGCCACCATGTGGTTGCTGGGAATTGAACTCAGGACCTCTGGAAGAACAGCCAAGTGCTCTTAACTACTGAGCCATCCCTCCAGTCCGCTTTTTGCTATTTTGAGACAAGGTCTCGGTAGCCCAGGCTGACTGCATATGAATGGCAACCCTGCACCAACCTTCTGAGTGCTGAGAGTGTGGTGGGAGTCCCCATGCCCAGCTTCATCCATAACCTTTAAGAACAATTAAAAAAAAATGAAACAGACTTAAAGGGATATCTTTTTCTTTCCAGTTTTTTACAATTCTTTACCATTTCATATGCACATACACCTTGATCACATTCATCCCTGACTCCCCTCAGACATCCCCTAACAGGCCCCGCTCCCGCCCTCCTGTCCTCTTCTTGGAGTTCGTTGGCTTTGTTTATGTTTGGAAACACACTCCGTGAATTAGAGCCGCCTGCTGTAATGCTGACTAAGCCTTGCCAGCTTGACCTTGCGCAGGTGGCCATCGCTGTAGTGACTTCATGAGGACAGTGGCCATGTCCTGTCCAGAGGACGGCTCTTCCTGTACTCCTCTCTGCCCTGACATTCTACAGTGTTCCCTGAGCCTCGGAGAGGAAGATAAAGCCAACTTTTATTATTTATTCACTGTTTTGAGAGAGAGAGAGAGAGAGAGAGAGAGAGAGAGAGAGAGAGAGAGAGAGAGTGTGTCGATCAGAGGACAACTTGCAGAAATCAGTTTTCTCCTTCTACCAGGTGGGGGTAGGAATCGAACACAGGTCCCCAGGCTCATTGACAAGCACCCTTACCCACTGAGCCGTCTAACCAGCCCTCTGAGTAATTTCAGTCCATTGTTCCTTGAGCCCTCCCTTGAAGACACTATGACACAAAGAGCCATGTACATACACATGGCTGTACAGGCTCCTGAAAGCTGCCCACATCCCTGAAATCAGGCGCCTAGGACCCTGGGCTCTGAGAAGCAATGCCCAAAAACTCTTCTAAACCTTCCCATGTCTCTGCTTCCGCACAGACTAGTCAGGATTACATGAAATAATGCATCTGGAGTGCAGGGGCTGGCACTGTATGTCTCAGGGCAGCCAGCCAGTCTGCTACCACCAGCACTGGCGCTGTGCGGTAAGAACAAGCGCAATGTGTGTGCAGTCCCTGCTGGCCCAGTACAGCCCCTGGTAGGGAGAACCCAAAGGTGGCAGGCCGGAAGGGACTGGGAACCGTGGAGCACTGTGCCAGGTGAATGGCTGCCTATGCTCCTTCCTTACTCCATCTGTCTTTGTGGGTGTATGAGGTGTGTGTGTGTGTGTGTGTGTGGTGTAGGCCTCCTCAATCACTCTTCACCGATTTGTTTTTCCACTTTTTTTTTCTTTAAGACAAGGTCTGTCAGTGAACCTAGAGTTGGCCCGTCTGGCTAGACGAGGTGGCCAGCAAGCCCCAGGGACCTGCCTGGCTCCACCTGCCCAGCACTGGGGTTACAGGTGCCCACCTCTCTGCCTGGCTCTTAACGTGGGTTCTGGGGACCCAAGCTCAGGTCCTCCTGTTCGCGCAGCAAGTGCTTTGCAGACTGAACCATTTCCCCAGGAAAGTTGCCCCCTTTCCCAGTACTGGAACGGAGCTAACTTAGCCCCCAGGCTGTCCCAAGGGCCCTCAGACTCCACAGCCAGGAGAGCTGGGAAGAAACCCTCCCACCTCCAGGGAAGACCAGGCTTTCCCTTGGCTTAAGATACTGACAGTGACGTCATTTGGCATGTAGGCCACACCCATACATCTCAAAGTCAGCATCTGGACACACACACACACACACACACACACACACAGAGGAAGAGCCACCACGCTGCTCTCCCTCACAAATTCCTGTGTGCCATCCTTTGTGATCCAGATAGAAGAAGAAGAAACCAGTTCCCTCTCTGGGCATCCCACACACAAGCCTGCCTTCCTCCAGGAACCTACCGTTCTGGTTCAGGCCCTCTCCTGGGGCTTGCCTACTTCTGACTTACCTTTCTGCAGCCTGCAGCAGCCAGGCTCTCTTAGCGCTTCCTCCACTGTTAGCATCTGGTACCTGCAGACCAGCAGCTCGCAGTGCGCATGCCCTAATGACCCCCAGCTTCCTCCTGCTCCTTCAGTGAGCCACCTTGCTCAAATATGTGTGTCCCTCCACAGGGCTAGAACACCTGGACTCATGGCCCTGCACTTCTTGCACAGGGCTTCCCCTCATCTCCCTGTATGTGCACCAGGTGAAAGAGTGTCTGTGCACTTGGTTCCCTGTGTGGCCGGGGTGTGTGTGTGTGTGTGTGTGTGTGTGTGTGTGTGTGTGTGTGTGTGTGTGTGTGACTTCTGCCTGTGTAGACTCCAGCTGTCCCTCCCCCTGTAGACCCAAATTACGCTTCTCCTGGCATAAACCCAGACCTGACTTGGACGTGTGGGCGACTGCAAAATAAATGTTGATTCCAGTGCTGGCTCGGCTTGGAGAGGCCGCGCTGTCAGGGGCTGTGGGAGAATGGAGGGGACCCCCCCCCCCATGAGTCACTCTGGCTGCCGTGAGAAAGGGGAGAGCTCCAGGCCAGGCCACACTCCTCGCCTGTCCTCCATCCTCAGCACTTCTCTGTCTGCTGCTACCCCTGTACTCTTGCCTTTCTCCACCCTGTGCCTCCAGCCTCAGTGAGCCCTTGCGCCTGCTGCATCTGTCTGAACGGTGGCTTCCTAAACATCCATCCCCAAGCCTCTCCTGACCACCTAGAGAACAGAAATCATGCCCCACGCCATAGGGCAGATGATGATGAGGCCCGCACAAGCCAGCATGGCAGGAAGGGGTGGACTTCGGTCTAATTCACAGCTCAGGTCAATTCTGTTGTCTTCCATAGTGCTGGTTGACACGGAAGAACATTTCCAATCCCTTAAATGGGTACTGGCGGGGACAAAGTTACTTTGTCTTGTTGTGGTACCCCATACCCATTTCCTGTCTGCTCTGCATTTCTGTTTTGTGGCTCTTAATCTTGTCTCTAATAAACGGTGAGGTCCCTGATATTGAAGATCTTTGTGACCTGCCAGCACTCAGCCAGCACCCACCCGTCCCTTGGAATAGATGATGACATTGGCAGTAATAATTTTAGCAGTGCCCCCCCCCTCCCGGAGTCCTCCACGCACACAGGCCTTAACTGCAGACTGCAGCGTCCCCCTCCCGGCTTTCCGTTTAAAAAGCATGAGGTCAGACCTAGCCGCCACTTCATCCAGGGGCCTTGGCAAGGTCCCTCAGCTCCCCTGCCTCATTTCCTCCTCCATGGAATGGGCTTTTCTCAGCTCTCTTCCTCCTCCTCTTTGCCTTTCCTGTCCTGTCCTGTCCTGACTGGTTTTATTTTTTTGAGACAATGCTTTGTTACAGAACCATGGCTGGCCTAGAATTCACTTCGTAGCCCAGCCTGGCCTTAAACTTGCAACAATCTTCTTGCCTGAACTTCCCAAGTGCTGGGGTGACAGGTGTGCCCCATCATGCCCCACTTGTAAAAGGGGCTTTGTTCCTAAGGTGCCGGTCTCTACCTCTGTGATCTCAGAAGCTAAACACCTGGCCTAAGCAATCACCCCCAGGATCTTGAGCCACCTGCCAGAGAGTGCAGCCAGCTCCCCTGCTCATTTGCAGAGGGAGGCAGGCCCTGGCCTTCCGGGCCCTCCCAGAACTTCTACATTTTTCTTTTTTTTTAACTTCTACATTTTAGAGGAATAATGCTAGTGTCTCTGTGGGTGCCATACCTTGTCACTGAGTGCCACAGAGAACCCTGTCACTGCACTGAGAGGACAGGAGAGGACTCCATGTGGGCCCTGGGAGCCCAGGACTCAGAGGCTGAAGGATCTTGGCCACCTCCTTGGCATACAATGTTACTCAGCTGCTGCCAAGGTCTCTCGTAGACCTCATCCCACTCCAGGTCACCAGGGGACTTGGTACCACTTCTACCAACCTAGTGATCCTGTGTTGCTCGGAGACTCCAGGTTCACCAGCATAATCGGCTTGCTTTCTTTTCTGAGGTAAATCCATTCCTGGGCCTTTGTTTCAGATCGCTTAGATTAAACACAGCAGTGTAGTGGCCTGGGGGAGCCTGGGCTGGGACTGCTGTGTCCTGGAGTGCAGGGAGAAGTGGAGTCTGCAAAGGAAGAGCGTAGTTAGTTAATAGGCCTGAGCCTGTCCACACCAGCCATATGACTCAGACAAACAGCAGTCCTCAGTTTGTCTGTCTGTAAAATAAACACCCAGATGTTCACTTCCCTGCCTGGCCCCTGCTAGGAGCTCCGTTTGTAGGAGCTGGAAGGACACTAGGAGGAAATCCCTCACTCCTGCCTCCCCCAGGAGAGGAGCCCAAGGCATCCTGCATGCCGGTGTTCTACTCGACCACACCCCCAGCCCTAAAAAAGTGAATCTTGAAGAATTGGGGATGTCTCTCACCTGTTTGTGCAGAAGACCTCTGGGTCCATTGAGGATCCAGTTCTTTAGCTGTTGTTTGTTTTTCAAGACAAGGTTTCTCTGTGTATCCCAGGCTGGCTGGCTGCCTCTGCCTCCCAAGTGCTGGGATTAAAGGCGTGCACCAGTTCTGAAGGCCAGGTGTACCTGGGAGAGGGGCCTCAGGCTGGGTACGGTGGGTTGGGTCTCCCGAAGACCAGTGAGTTCCAGCTTGGGCAGCATCGTGGGGGATTCTGGGCCTGTCTGGGCCTTGCTCTGTCCTGAGGGTACCTCAGGCTACTCCAGGATGCCTCTCCCAGCAAGCCCCACCCCCAACTGTGTGTCAAAGAGGGAACCCTCTAGCAGGCAGAGGGTCCCTTGGGGGAGGTGTCCTTCCTCCTTGCTGTCCTGGGGCTTTGACCCTTTGGCTCTTCAGAAGGGAGGCTAGGACCGAACTGGAAGAGTCAGGCCAAACAGACTAGGGTTTCTTTTCCCTTTTCCCTCTTTCTTTTTCTTTTTAAGCAAGAGACAGATAAATGTCACTCTGAGATGACAGGAGGACATTGGGGGAGATGAAAGGAGGGTAAAAGGGGCCAAGGGCCAGCAGCAAAGGACAGGGGGGCGCTCTGGACTCTACACTGCGAGGACGGGAGAGATGAAAGAGGAGAGGAAGAGATGAGATGGGAACGCAGGACCGAGTGGCAGAGCAGAGGATGGGGTTGCCATGGAAACGGAAGAGGGGAGGAATGGAGGGAGAGGAAGACAGGATGGAGAAGGCAGAGGACGCTGCAGAGGAGGGGCCTGACAGGCTAGATGAAGAGAAAGGGAAGCCATGAGAGGTCCTTTGGACCAGATAGACTGGCAGAGGAGGAGGAGGACTGTGACCCTGAAAGCCAGTCCTGTCCAGATCTGAGTAGAGTGACCCTGGGAAACCTGTTTCATTCACCCTGCCCACAGGGACTGCCTTAGTTTCTGGATCTGGAAGGTGGAAATGTCCCCTACTCCTAGAGGACTGCTCACATGTACTCATTGAAGGGCCTGACAAAGTTCAAACCTAGTGAGTGCTCATGCTGTCCCTCACTTGTGATTCTTATCTTTGCCCCCTGAATGTGTGAACCAAAGTTTTGTGTGTTTTCCCTGATTAGCAGGAGATTGGGGGTCTGGCACAGCTAGCATCCTCATTGGTGAGAAAATGTGCTTTTTACTTCCGGAATTAGAGGGAAGACAAAGAGCCTTCCAGAAACAGGAGGCCTGCTGTCCCTCCCCTGGGGAGAGGAACTGGCCTTGCCACTGAGGGAAAGGGAGGCCAGGCGGGGCTTTGCACACGGCAGCTTTCCAGGCTGTCCTCCTCCTCAGCAGCCTCTTCTCCATGAGTCTGTGTTCCCACAAGGCTCTGCTGGGGTGCTGGGGTGAGCACCTGGGCAAGGTGTCTGCCCGTGGGCAGCGTCACCTAACTGGGATGTCACCTCCTGGGATGTACATCCTTAACAAGCCCTTAAAAATCATAGTAAGGTCCAAGAAGGAAAAGAAGGTTGTTTTGTTTGTTTGTTTTTTGAGACACAGTAGCCCTGTGAACCTGGAGTTCATTTGGAAGGCAGGGGCCGCCCTTGAACTCCCAGGTGCCGGGACTGTAGGTATGTACCACCACCCCTGGCAAGGAAAAGTATTAGAAATGGATGAAACTTGAACTTGCTGAGAACTTAGAGGGTGGGACCTGGGCAGGTGGGGTGGCACAGGGGAGGTTTCCTACAGATGTGGCACTTGTTAGGAGTAGAAGGCTGAGGAATAAATAAGAAAGTACGTTCCTGGCATGTGGAACTATGATGCAAAGTCACTTGCAGGCAAGTCTGTGGTGGAAAGTGAAGGCCGTGTACAGTGAGGTGATCACACGGGCACAGAGAAGCCAGGCTCACGGGTCCTTTGATTGCAAGCACCAAGTGAAGTAAATGTGGGATCTAGATCAGGCTTGCCATCCTGCCCTGCCTTGTCCGTGTCACTTGCTTGGGTCATCGTCGTCAACATCGGCGACCGAGTGATGGAAACCCTCCCTCCCACATTCTGCCCTACAGCCCTCCATGTTAGGGAGCAGTGCTCTGCCCGGAACTCTGGGACAGGAACTCTGGAACTTGTCTTTAATATGTTGGTGGAAAGCATGCTAGGGATCAGATCCCCAGGTCGGTCCTGTCGTGTGTGGTGCAGGAGCCTTAGGGTTTCACCTTCCACCTCTGTGAGATGACACCATTGGCTGGAGGGGCCCCAAAGTTCCAGCCCTGCAGTGAAGACCCCAAAACGGGGCAAGGTGGTTAAAGGAAGGGGTCTCCACTAAAGGCTGCGGGGAAGTGTGTGTGCTGTCTGGGCAGCAGGCGGAGGCGTGGAGACCTGTAGTCCAGCCTTGCCTTTCTACTGTCTGGGCTCCGTTTGTGGTCTCAGTGTCCTTATTTAGAGAGAGAGAGAGAGAGAGAGAGAGAGAGAGAGAGAGAGAGAGAGAGAGAGAGAGAAGGTGCGGAGGGCCTGGTGGTGTAGTGCACGCCTGTAATCCTAACGCTCGGGAGGAATGTCATGGGCTGGGCGCTAGGCTGGGCTGCAGAGTAAGATTCTGGGGGTTGGGGGCAGAGGTCTGAGCCAGGTATGGTTTGCGCTCAGGAGGCTGAGGTAGGGTATCTCTTGAGCCCACAAGTTCGAGACCATCTGGGTAACAGACTGTCCAAACAGAGCAGGGCTGACATATACTAGACCTTTGTGCGGTCTGTGGATTGTGGTCCAGCTCCTGCGTAGCTAGCTCATGGAGTTGACTCAGACAGAGAAAAGGGGAAACCGAGGAAGAGAGAATCCAGCTACACTTCCGCTGGGCCCCTCGATGCTGTGGGTGGCTCCGTGGCTGACAGAATCGAGACTGTGGCAAGGAACCGAAGATTTGCACAAGCATCCAGCTTTGGGCTTTCACTTCCTCTTCTCTGAGGATACAAGCGCTTTACCTTTGAACAAGGGAGGGAAGCCAAGAGGGAGGGTTTGCTACCAGGTGGATTCCCGGAGCATTTCTTCAGCTCCTCCCTTTCAGGCTACGTGTGTTGCCCCACCCTGGGTCCTATCTCTCCAGCCCCCAGGGCCTGGGCCCCCTCCCCTCCCAGTGACACAGTTCTGTAGAAGGGCTAGAAAGGAAAGCGGGGACCACATTCTGGAGGTCTGAGTGCCAGTCCCTGAGGCCTCCTCCCCGGTGTTCCCTGAGAGCCTATCCCGTCCCTCTACCTCCTGCAGATCTCAGGCTCCACCTGTGGGCCTGAGCTTTATTTGGCCCCCTGCTGTATACACTGGGAAGTGCTTGGTAACTGTGTGTTAATTCAGTTGGTTCTAGTGAACAACTGGAGACCAAAGCCTCCGAGTAACCTCACGATTTAAGGCGGAGAGGAGCCCCGGCCTCCCAGTACCAGTCCCGTCACTGCTCAGGCTGCACTGGGGAGCGGGTCCTCTTGCGCCCAGGACATAATCACCCGATTAAGGCAGTTGCCGTTAGTGGGCACAAGAAGCCTGCAGAACGCCCCTGACTTTGGCTGGTTTTATTCATTTTATTTTTGTTGTTGTTTTGGTTTATTTTGGAACTCACTCTGTAGACCAGGCTGGCCTCCAACTCACAGAGCTCCTCTTGCCTCTGCCTCCCAAACACAGGGATTAAAAGCGTGCGCCGCCACATTCGCTTCCTCTGGTTGGTTTTCAAAACTCCCAAGGTGGTGAGAGAGTCAAGGAATATCATGTGGTCACCAGGTCCTGTTGCTTCTTCCTTCAAAATGACTCTTAACCTGCCAACCCCAAATTAGGCCATCCTTTGCCCGAGCCTCACCTTTTTTTTATCTTCCTATGAGACAGGCTTTCTCTGTGTAGCCCTGGCTGTCCTGAAACTCACTTTGTAGACCAGGCTGGCCTCGAACTCAGAGATCCACTTGCCTCTGCCTCCCAAGTGCCAGAATTGAAGGTGTGTGCCACCCCCACCCAGCCAAGCCTCCTAATCCTTAGCAGGGGTCTGAGGGGGTCGCCATGGAGGATAGGAGCAGCTAGGGCCCTGTGTGAATGAGGAAAGGCTCTGTAATGCGGGGACCCTGTTGGGCAGGCAAGTCGGATGTGGGCTTTAGATGATGATAATCCTGAGATTCCTGGTAGGCCCTTGTGTCTGTTTTATAGATGGGGACACTGAGACTCCAGGGTGTCAGGTGACTTGCCCATGGTCCCTGGGCTTTTATCTGTCCTCACTGGAGCCATAGAACAGAGACAAAGCACTTTTGGAGTAGCAGTGAGAAGCCTGGGGCCCCTCTTGGGGTGGGGAAGCCTGCTGCTGGGCCTCAAAGGGGAGACTTGACTCCCTCCCCAGCATCAGGCCTGACCCTCTGGCCCAGAGGTGATGCTGAGCCCTGGGAAATAGGGCAGCCCTGGGCTTCTGTGTCACTGTGGGCCCCCTCCCCCTCCCTGCCTTTGTTTCTTGTCCTCCACAGCCTCTCTCTCTTCTCCCCCCCCCCCACCTCACTCCTCTTCTGTCCCCTTCGCTGTCTCCTCCGGGCCTCCGGTCTCCCCCCCTCCCCCCTTCTCTTTTCCCCCTTAACCGGCTCCCTGCATTACTGCACCCGGGCAGCTACTCCTTATCCGTGCCTTTAACATTTACTTTCTCCGCACCCCGGGGAGGGGGGGGCGGGGAGACAGGCTGGGAAGTGGGAGGAGCTTAGCAGAGGTGCGGGGGGCGCACTAATGGAGGCCTCCGTCATCAGCCATGCAGTTTGGAAGAACACAGGGCCCTCCAAGCTCTCTTCTCCTGGACATTGTCAGGAGCTTTGATTGAGTCCCCCGCACAAGTGATAAAGAAAGGCTTTGCCTTGAGAAGGAAGGAGCCATCGGGGGGGGGGGGGGCCCGGGGGCCTGCAGCATCTCTGTGCCACAAGTGATGTGGTCCTGTGTGGGCTCTTCTGCCTTGAGCAGTCTGGGCCAGGGCATCAAACAGAAGAGCTGTAGCCTATGAGAAGCAGCCAGGGGGCTTGGGGACAACTAAACCAAAAGACCGGTCCAAGGGGATGAAAGGGATGCTGGACTGGAGGCCACCTCCCCTCCACTTATCTCTGTCCATCAGAGCCACAGGCAGAGCGGCAAGTCACTTAGAATCCGTCTTTCACTCCACCTCGATCTTAATAGAGCCCCTTCTACACACACAAAACATACACTTGGGCACACACAATACACACTCATGCATGCACATGGCTGTCCCCAGAGACCAGACCACCTGAACATAGAGCCCAGCCCTCGCCACCAAGTTTCAGTTTTCTGCTGGCCCCGGGCAGCTCCTGCGCTCAATTATGACGTGCTCTCCAGATCTGGCATCCTTGGAATTGGAGTCTGCCTGGGTACTAGAGATGCCGGGTGCGACCCAGCTCTGCCCTGCTCGTTAAGAACTCCTGTCGCTGTGGCTTAGGCCCATTCCCCCGGCCTGTGGAGTCAGGCTGCTGTAGGGTTAAATGGGGCCTGGAGCCCTCAGTAATGATAAGCCGTGGAGCCTCTACCAGGTCTGTAGCTCATGACTGACCATTCTTAAGCCCCCCCCCCCCCATGGCCCTTGAAGAGCACTGACTCTGGGCAAGCCCCTTTTGACAGCCAGAACAGGCTCCAGTCAAAACCATCTGTGGCCTGGGGTAGACTTGGTTTGCGTCTTGTCTGTGTGACAGAAAGGGGGTGTCTTCTTGTTGGAGGGGTCCCCATTTGGATGGTTGATTGCATGATTTCTCTCATCATAGGGAACCAGACCTGCCCCTGCCTCGGGCAGGGTTGGCCCGTTGTCAGTGGTCACCCCGTTGTCTACATGGGAAGTAGGCTGTGTGCACCATTCTCTGGGGGTGGCAGGGTGTGACAACCGGGCTTCTGAGGAAGGCTACACCATCTGTTTCAGGTCAGAAGCCCTCCGTAGGAGTGAGATGTAGGAGCTGCGGTTTGGGATGCATGAGGGTGCGCCAGACCTAGGACCGACCTCAGTACTCACCCAAGTTCTTTGTTGTTGTTGTTGTTGTTGTTGTTGTTACTCTTGTTCGCTTAAAACTCAGTATGCAGCCGAGGATGACTTTGAACTCCCAAACCTAGTTTACTTTCCAAGTGCTGGGATTACAGGCGTGTGCTATCACACCCAGCTTCCAGTGCCAGGTTCCAAGCACAGGCTTTGCCATGGTTGACCTGTCGGTCCCTCCTCCCCATGGCTTCCTCCTTTGGGGAAGTCTAGAAAACTCGCTGAGTGTATGGTTTGCTCAAAGTCGCCACATACACTGGGGCTGCTACCTGGTGCTGTGTCTGGGATGGGCTGGTGTGGCAGGCAGTGACATTTCCTGGTATGTTAAGGAAAGGCAGCAGCGGCTAGTGAGCACTGGCTAGTGAGCACTGATGTGGTGGTGATGGACTCAGCAGGTCGCTCCGAGGCGACTGAGCCCCTGTCCTGTTCACCTGCTCTCTCGAGGCACCAGGCCTGCCACCCCGCTGGGATTTAGCGATGTTGTTAGTTCCTGACAGTCATCCGAAATCACCAGCGCTGTGCTGCGTTTGGGGCCCAAGGATGGAAGGTGTTTTCACCCTGTCTATGCCTTTCTTCTCTCTGAGGCTAAGATCCTTGTCCTGCACTTTGCCCTTTGGGATCCTGTACCTTTCTTGTGTGTTTTCATTATTCCCAGTTTTTAGATGGAGAAACTGAGGCAAACAGAAGTGATGTGATCAATTACAAGTGGCTGAAGTGGGAAATCAGTCCCTAGTAAGTGCTGCAGCTGGACATGGAGTAGAATGTGTCGAGAAGGGAGATTAGCCCCCTGGGCAGCTCCAGATGGACCCCGAAGCCCCCCTGGACTCCGAGCTGACCCCTTCCACCCCAGCCCTGCTCTGAGCCTAATAGTCTAATCTCTTGGGTCTGTTGGAAGGAGGCCGGATTCCTGTCTGGGGTATTTTTAGCCAGCCTCAGGAAGAGGAAGCTCCACTGAGTGCTGGGGGTGGGGGGAGGGCAGCACGAGGCCTGGACTGATTTCCTGAGGAAGGGCTTGTCCACTGGCCATGCGCTGACCCTGGCCCTGGGGGGAGAGCAGGCAGGAGTCACCCACTCGAGTGGTTCGTCTTCTGGAGTGTGTCAGGAACGGAGCCAGGGCAAGGCATGGGGACATGAGTGGAGCCCAGAAGGAGGCCCCCACAGCACAGACCTGGGGAGGCTGGCATGGGCATGAGAGCCGGCAGATGGGGCCAGGGAACTGGTGGCAGGGCTGGGAAGGGGCACCAGAGCAGGGATCACCTTGTCCAGAGGTGGGGTTCCTAGTACTCCCAGAGCCAGGGAGAAAGAGGGTGCTTTTGCTGGTTTTCCAGCTGGACTGGGGTGCATTGACCGTGAACCTGGGATCCAGTTTTAACATTCAGGTTAGACAGTGGTCTCGAAAGCATTAGCCTTCCAATCTGACATGCAACTCCAGTGTCAGGTAAAGCTGTCTTTTTATCAGGATATTTGGGTGTCTATGCATATGGCATTTAATTAATTAAGAAAAACAATGGCTCCTATGATAGACTGTTTAGCCTTAGGGCTGACCGGCGGTAGCCCATGTTTGAAACCAGCCTCCGAACCTAATCTATTTTTGTTTGTTGATTATTTTTACTCTGTTATATATCTGTATATATATACATATTTAAAATCCTCATTCATGCAGCCTTGCCATCATTAATGGCAACGATTGTTTAACACCTCAGTACATGCCGGGGTCTGTGCAGAATTAATTACCCCAGCAGCACAGCCATGGGACTCTTGGCGTGTTTTAGAATGTGGCACATTATATTTTGAGTAGGTGGGTTTTTTTTTTAATCAGTTCTTAAAATAATAGAGTAATTAATTTCTGAAACAGAAGGGCCAGGACTGTGGCTCAGTAGAAGAGCGCTTGCCTAGCATGCGTGCTTGCCTAGCATGCTCAAAGCCCTGGGTCCAATCCCCAGCTCTGCAAAAAAGAAAATTAAAAAGCTATTCAACTTCATTCATAAATCACCAGGCTTGGAGGCACACGTCTGTAATTTCAGCACTCAAGAGGCTAAGGCTCTAAGACAGAAGATTCCAGGCTAGCCTCAGCTATATACTATATACTGAGATCCTGTCTCAAAACAGAGCGGTCATCTTTGTGCGTTTTGAAACAGATTTCTGAGGGCCCGTGAAGAACCTGTAAGGCACGGTTTAAGAACCACTGGACATGGATTGGGGAGATGGCTCTGTGGGTACAGGGCTTGCTACAGTGAGGACCTGAGTTTGGTCCCCAGCACCCAGTTAAAAATCCAAGTGTGGCAGCACATACCTGTAACCCCGGAGCTGGAAGGCAGAGTCAGGAGAATCCCCTGGGTCTGCTGGCCAGCTAGAGCAGTCAATGGGTGAGCCCCAAGGTCTGTTAGAGACCCTATCTAAAACAAACAAAAACCCTGACATCGTTGGCCTTCATGCACCCACGGCACCTGCACCCACACCACACACCTGCACATGCATGTATGCACACAAAAGAAGGAGACGGGGAGGGGAAATGCATCACTCAACAGCTGGGTGTGGGGGCACGCATTTGCAATCCGAGCACTTGGGAGGCTGAGGCAAGAGGGTAATGAGTTGTAGGCCAGCTGCAACTGCCTTGTGGGACCCTGTCTCAAGGAGAAAGAATCACAGATGCAATCCACTTTAACAGATGGAAAGACTCAGGGGGTGGGGCTTACCCAGGACCTCTCAGAGATGGAGGAGATGGCTAGACACACAGAGGTTGTTGTTGCTCCCCATAATTACAGGCATATCCTGTTCTCAAGGCAGGGGTCACAGGACATCAGAGGTACACACACCCCAAATTAGCTGGGCCCTTGTCCTCACTGAGTGTATTGCTGGCTCAGCATTGAACTAGCAGTATTAACATGCCCTTTTCCTCCCACAGAAATGCCCTCCTAGCCAGCCGCCTCGGGATGGAGGGCTTCATGGACTCAGGGACACAGACGGACGCTGTGGTGGTGCTGTCCTTGGCTCAGGCTGCTGTGCTGGGCCTGGTCTCAGAAAATGAGCTCTTTGGAGCCACCATAAGTGCTGAGGCCTTCTACCCAGACCTAGGGCCAGAACTGTCTGGGACAGCCATGGGGGAGCCGGGACCACCAGGACCCGACATCTATCAGCTGGCCTGTAATGGGCGGGCCCTGGAAGAGCCCCCGGAAGAGGAGGTGTTGGAGGTAGAGGCAGCCTTTGAGAAGCACACCCGGAGGAAGACACGGCCCCCTGTGCGGCTGGTCCCCAAGGTCAAGTTTGAGAAGGCCGAAGAGGAAGAGGAACAGGAAGTGTATGAAGTATCTGTGCCTGGTGATGACAAGGACCCGGGCCCCGCAGAGGCCCCTGCCGAGGTGGCCACGGGTGGCTGTGAGGCCCTGGTGCAGAGCAGTGCCGTCAAGATGATCGACCTCAGCGCCTTCAGCCGCAAGCCCCGGACACTGCGGCACTTGCCTCGAACTCCAAGGCCAGAGCTGGACATGGCCGCGTTCGATCCTCCTTTCCCCGACCAGACCCGGGATGGCTTCCCTGAGCCCAGCATGGCGCTACCGGGCCCAGAGACTCTGCCCACCGAATGCGGTTTCGAGCCGCCCCACCTGGCCCCCATGAGCAACCCTGAGCCTCCCGGCATGACGTCACCCGAGCTCGTCAAGCCCGAGCAGGGCTTCGTGTGGCAGGAGTCGGGCGAGTTCGAGGCAGACCCGGCCGGCTCCACGGTGGAGCGGCACAAGAAGGCGCAGCTGGACCGGCTGGACATCAACGTGCAGATCGACGACTCCTACCTGGTGGAGGCGGGGGACCGCCAGAAACGCTGGCAGTGCCGCATGTGCGAGAAATCCTACACGTCCAAGTACAACCTGGTGACGCACATCCTGGGCCACAACGGCATCAAGCCGCACTCGTGCCCGCACTGCAGCAAGCTCTTCAAGCAGCCCAGCCACCTGCAGACGCACCTGCTGACGCACCAGGGCACACGGCCTCACAAGTGCCAGGTGTGCCACAAGGCGTTCACGCAGACCAGCCACCTCAAACGCCACATGCTGCTCCACTCCGAGGTCAAGCCCTACAGCTGCCACTTCTGCGGCCGCGGCTTTGCCTACCCCAGCGAGCTGAAGGCCCACGAGGTGAAGCACGAGAGCGGCCGCTGCCACGTCTGCGTCGAGTGCGGCCTAGACTTCTCCACCCTGACCCAGCTCAAGCGCCACCTGGCCTCCCACCAAGGCCCCACCCTCTACCAGTGCCTCGAGTGCGACAAGTCCTTCCATTACCGCAGCCAGCTCCAAAACCACATGCTCAAGCACCAGAACGTGCGGCCCTTCGTGTGCACTGAGTGCGGCATGGAGTTCAGCCAGATCCATCACCTCAAGCAGCACTCCCTCACCCACAAGGTAAGGCTACCAGCCCTGGCTCCCCACCTCTCACTCTCTCTCTCCGGCACCCCAGGGTCGGGGGTGAGATTCACACAGGTAAACTTTTTTTTTTAGGTGTCCTTCTAGTTAGTGTGTTGAGTGTTACATGTATGTTGAGTGTTACATGTATGTCTGTGTACCACAGTGTGAGCCTGATGTGCATGGAGGCCTGAAGAGGGCATCAGATCCCCTGGGACTGGAGTTACAGGTGGTTGTGAGCTGTCATAGGGGTGCTGGGAACCAAACCTGGGTGCTCTCAACCACTGAGCCATCTCTGCGGCCCAAACTTTACTTATTTTCATGCTTAGAAATTTATCTTAGAGCTGGGCGGGGGTGGCCCACGCCTATAATCTCAGCACTCGGGAGGCAGAGGCAGGAGGATCTCTGTGAGTTCGAGGCCCGCCTGGGCTACAGAGTGAGATCCAGGACAGGCACCAAAACTACACAGAGAAACCTCCCCCCCCCCCAAAAAAAAAGACAAATATTAGAAACATAATTGAAATTAGTTTTTCGCAGTAGTAAAACTTACCTTGAAAATGTTTCTGAGGCCCAGGGAGGTGGTTGAGTGGGTAAAGGGCTGTGTAAACATAAGGACCTGGGTTCAGGTCCCCAGCGCACCTGTCAGTGCCGGGTGTGGCGATCGATGCACATAACCCCACCAGTGGAGAGAGGAGGCAGGTGAGTCCCATCGGCTCCCTGGCCACACGGTATAGCCAAAACAGCGATTTAAGTGAAGGTCAAAGATGAAGTGTGGAAGAAATGGAGGAAGACACCTGTGCAGATACACACACGTACACACACACACCACACAGAGAAGAGGAAGATTTTTGTGAAAGAGGTTTGGGAACTCCCACAGGACTCAGGGGTCCCTCCCTGATTCCTACATGAGGACATGCAGCTGGATGCAATAACCAGAAATGGAGAGGATAGCTTGGAGTTCTTGTCATCACAGACATATAACAGAACCTTTGGTTTCCCTTTAGAAAAAGGCAAACTATAAGTGATTATAAAAGGGCTCCATGGGGCTGGGGAAGCCGGCGAGATGACTCAGCAGGTAAAGGCACTTGCTGCCAAGCCTGAGAAACAGAGCGAGCCTCAGCACCCTTGACCTGTCCTTTGAGCCACACACATACACAGTAAACAAATGTAAAAAATGGGGCCATGCATGCACGCCTAAGGTCACCCCCCAGCAGCTGTGTGAAAAGCTATGCACAGTGGTGAGCACTCAGAACCCCAGTGCTGGGGAAGTCGGGGACCCTTGGAACTCTCCGGCAAACCAGCCTAGCCCAGTCAGTGAGTTCCAGGTCCCCATGAGAGATTCTATCTCAGAAAACAGCTTGGACGGCTCCTGAGGCTGACTTGGCCTCCACACATACATGTGCACGTGTGTACACTTGCACACACATGCACACCAAGAGGAAAGGGGGCTGGAGAGACGGCTCAGCACTTCAGAGCACTTGCCGCTCTTGTAGAGGACCCGGGTCTGGTTCTCAGTACTCACATGGTGGCTCACAACTTCCTGGAACTCCAGTTCCAGGAGGATCCAGTACCCTCTGGTGTGCAAAGGATGCACAGGCAAACACTTGGTTACCACACACACACACACACACACACACACACACACACACACACACGTACGTACAATGAATATGTGCGTCTTAAAAGTACAAGTGACCGACAACGTGGCTCGTTGAGCAGAGTCACTTTTTGTCAAGAAGGACAATTGAGCAGCCATGTTCTTATCCACCAGGTTGGTAGACCTAACCTTCACCTATTTTCCTCTTATTCCTGGTGCCAGTCATCCCCCCCCATCCCCCGTGTCCATGTCCCGTGTCTCCCCCCCCATCCCCGCTTTTAGCCGTCACTACCTCCCCCGCGAGGCCCTTACACCCTGGAAGGTAGAATGGAACCTCTTAGGCCTCACCATCCCATTCTGGCACTTGCCTGACCCACGCCTCCCTTCCAACTGCAGCCAACTGACTTAACCTCTCAAAGCCGTGAGTGGCGCTTTCTCTGTGGTGACCTGTGGTGACCCATCGGTATTGCTCACAGTGGACCCTGCAGTGAGCCTGCCAGGCCGGGAGCGCGAACTGCTCCGGCCCCCAGGACCTTTCTGATGGGGCGGGGACCACTGGCAGGCAGGTCCCACTGCGGTGGTGGCAGCGGCTGCCGAGCGTATGGCGTTAAGGATTCTGACACTGGATCTGGGCTCATCAGTCAAACTGGGTAATTGATTATCGGTGTCTGCAGGGGTGGGAGTGAATGATGATCTGTAGGCTGTGTGCTCGCCATCTTTCTTCTCTGCTCAGAGACTTCCAAATCCTACTGACGTGCTCAGAGATAAAGGGTATGCGAGGGAAGCCGAAGGCGTGTGTCGGTGTCTTAATTTGTACCACCCCCCATCTGTGCCTACAGCTCTTGAGTGGGGCCCCCTGGTGGTCACATGTGTCCGGCCATGTCACAAGGATACTGAGGGTGTGCACTAAGGAGCACCTGGCTGCTAAGAGAAAAAGCACAGGGTCTGTCAGAGCATCATAAATACCCTGGGTTCAGTCACCAGGACATATGCACAGAAGCACTGTCATACAAACATTTTACATTAGCTAGTTGGGACAGCAGCCGGGACGGAGACATGCATCCGTCCCAGGGACGTTCTCTTCAGCAGGAGAAGAACTGCTCCCAACTGTGACCCTTCCTTCTCTCCCAGCATCCCCTGCGCGCACAGCCCCTCATCTCTGTGCTGAGTGTCAGCTCTGGGCCGAGGCATGCGGCATTCCAGACAACAGTTTGCGATGGAGCCCGCGTCTCCTGGGGCTGGATGTCCACAAGAATCACCTGAGGGCACTGGTGCAACTAAAAACTCCTGGGCTATTCCAGGTCCCAGGGAATGAGCCTCTCTAGGGCGGGGCTTCAGGCTGTTGGCTGGAGAGCTGCACGTGGCTGTGCTCTCCAGGGAGGTGGGAGACCCACCTTCAGGGGGGCTGTGGGAGAGCACGAAGCCTGAGTGTCAGCCAATTTTCCTCTGGGGTGCACGAAGATTTTTGTCCTTTTCCTAAGTGTTGGCGATTGAATCCAGGACACAACCTTTGGCAGATGAGTTCTCTACTGAGATATACTCCCAGCCTCCCCCCCACCCCAACAGAGTCTTGTCTTTCCCTGGCTGGTCTCAAACTTACAGAGATCTGTCTGCTTCTGTGCCCCATACCCAGCTTTCATTTATTTACTTTTTACATATTTTATATATTTACTTTTACATGTGGAAGTGTTTTGCTTGCATGTATGTATGTATGTGTACCACATCACATGGAAGCCAGAAAGGTTGACGGAGTTCCTGGAACTGGAGGGACAGAGCCATCATGTGGGTGCTGGGACCAGAACCCCTGTCCTCGGGAAGAGCAGCAAGTGCTCTTGACCACTGAGAGCCAGCTCTCCGGCCCCGCCCCGCCCCCTGGGTTTTATTGATAAGTTGTCTGTGTAGGCCTTGAATTTGCTCTGTAGCCTAGACGACCTTTGAATTTTCCACCCTGCTTTACTTCCTCAACCTCCCCTAAGTATCTGGGATTACCAGCCTGTGCCACCATGCCTGGCAGTGTACAGCTTTCCTCGATTTCTTCTCCCTACCCCCACCAACTCTGGTTATCTTATGAACAGGTTCTCACTGTATAGTTCTAACTTCCTCAGAACGGCTCCTCAATGCCTCCACCTCAGTCCCCACCCTTCGGTGCTGGGGCTCAAACCTAGGGCACCTTTTACATGCTAGAAAGACTCTCCTCCACGGAGCTCTGTCCCCAGCAACACAGCTTCAATCATGTCTCCAAAGGGTCTGTCCCCCAAGAGACGTAACTGAAGATGAACAGAGGAACACATCCTTGATGTCATGAAAATTGTCCAGACAAAGGCCTTGCCCTGCTGACCACAGGCCTGTGCTGCTGGCTTCTGGTGGGTACACGTGCCTGTTTGCTGGATGGATGGAGGGACAGACAGGTGGGTGGACAGACCCCCTCATATCTCTGCGTACTGGTGCAGCAGACCTCCTTGCACACTGAGGCAGAGATGGGAAGGCACACAGTTTGTGCCTGCCTTATCCTGGAAAGAATCCAGGAACAACAGCCTGCCGTACCCCAGAGATGGCCAGCAGAAGAGCTCAGCAGGTACAAGTGCTCGCCACCGAGCTGGAGAACCTGAGTTTGCTGCTCAGAACCCACATGGTGGAAGGAGAGAACCGAGTTCTGAAAGTGGTACACACACACACACACACACACACACACACACCACACACACCACACACACATACATACACATACACACACATACACACACACACACACACCACACACACATACATACACATACACACACACATACACACACA